ATTGCCAACCGGTAAGCTTAATGCGAACCACACAAAGAGGGTATTTATTTGCGGTCAACTACTTTTATGATGGTCCTATAACCTTATAGCTCTTGGGTTACTTTATATTGATCCAATTGCAGCATAACAAATAAATAACCGAGTTTGGATTTTTTACAAAACTGCCTAACAGCTATAAATAATTACTGCTGATACCAAGTTAGACGAATTTCGAAATTCTCATCTACCAATGATATATTAAATGGGTCCCTGCACATATTTGGCAATCATGAAAACTATGGGACTTATTTTTGTACCAAAAGCGGTCAGCGGAATGATGTTTTAATTTCTTCCCTTGAAAATATTTATTTGTTTCAATTGTTTAGCCACGTACTCCACCTAATGGCTAATTTATCGTCAACTTTATTATTTAATGTTGTTAATAATGGAGTTGAGTCGTATAATTCGATTGTAAATAAATTTGTTGGGGAAAAAAGAATAAATTTTTCATTGCGAGGTTCTTATCAGGGTAGTTGTTTCGTTGCCGTCGTAATTACAATAACAAAGGTCCTTTTATACTTGAGTTATTAAAAAAACACACAACGTAGGTTCCCATTTTGTAAGACGATCACAGCCAAGGCCAAATTTTGAATTTTTCGCGGGCCTTTCAGACTTTTTCAAGGTCAATTGAAAGACGCCAAACACAATGAACGCGATTGCCCAAGACGAAACCAAAAATACAGATCAGGAAGTCCCAGTGATTTGATCGAATATTCCAGTGACGTGCGATTGAAGTCCAGCTTCGAAGCCAAACGCCAGGAACGAGATTAACTTGTCAGGTAAAGTTGCTTGTTCTAAATTCCAATGGAAGCCGATATCTGAGTTCTGGGTTTCTGCACTAATCTTTTTTTCAGCAAATTCTTGTAGCACCAGGTTTTCCTAGATGTCAGAAGAGGTTTCCTTAACAATGCTTGAAATTTTCCATTTCAATTTCAGAAAATTTGTTTCCAGAACCCGATGACCAAAATTGTGTCAGGATGTTTGAATTGGGGGCGAAAGCTTTTAATTCCTTAAGAATTTTAGCACTAGGGGGCGCCGTAGCTCAAATTTCCAGTGGCGTTTCAAACTGGGGAGCGAGAGGTCCATTCCCAGAGCAGTATTTTGTCCATTTAATCCAGTCTTAGTCATAGATGTCACATTTTTCTCTCCAGGTCACCCAAGCATAGTTCAGGGGGCGTAGGGTTTCCTCACCAAGCCGAATCACATCATCTGAGTTTGAGCTGACGTTCTCTTTCCCTTTCTAGCTGGCTGTAGCGAGGCCAAACAATTCTGTTCCTGATTTTTCAGCACGTTAACTTGCGGGTTAACAAACAAGGAGGAGCTCTCAACTAGCTTGGTTTAGAATAAAGGTTTTTCTCCCAGGAAAAACACAACTGTGGTGTGGACGACTATGACGTGACTGAACCCATTTCAACACTTGTCCATTTATTTGTAATTGTTTCTTTTTTTCTCCAACACGAATCTGGGTAGAATTGTTCTAACATTTTTTTCTTTTCATGCGCCCAACAAACGCTTTGAGGAGAACTGGAACATTTTCGTCAAAGAATACGAACGTCCAGGGCCAAGAAGGAAGTGTCTCCGCTCGTTTCGCAAGCTTCACTCTGAAAACACTTGGGGGCGACTGTGGTGACCGAATTTAATTGAAAATTTTCGAGCTGAAATTAATTAACAGCGGCGCGAAATCACATTTGAATAATTTGAATTTGAGAAAAAAAAACACAACGTAGGTTCCCATTTTGTTAGACGATCACAGCTAAGGCCAAATTTGGAATTTTTCGCGGGTCTTTCAAACTTTTTCAAGGTCAATTTAAAGGCGGGAAGTTTGGGTTATCATAATATATATAATATTTATTATATTTATCATTTGGAATAGCGTAGATAAATAACAAATAAAGCCTCAATCGCTTCAATTTACTAACCAACTAATAAAAATTACCTACGTATTATACAAATCTATGTAAGTATGTGATCTACGGGTCGTTTTTCAATGAAGCATGAAAAGTATAGAAAGTTATTTGAAAATTGATACACTTAAATAGTATGTTCGACTTATTACCAAATTTTCATTCTGTTCTTGAAACCCCCACTTACCGCAGTTCGATCAGGGATTATAAGGTATCAGGTAAGTAAAAATTTTGCACGGCAGTTCGGTCAGTGTCTATAAGATACTAGGTAGTCAAAAAATTTTGAACCGCAATTCGGCCGAGGATTAAAAATCCATCGCAGTTCGGACAGTAATCAACATGTTTATGACCATCCTCACCAAAAGTGTAGCACCTTACCTTAAAATTGTTCCGCAGTAATTGTTACTGAAATATATTGTATGGGTCATTTGCTTTTGAAGATCTAGAATAATAAATTTTAAATTTGATGTTTTTCTGGGCGCTTATAAGTTCATTCTCATTTCAACATGAGTCTTAAAGATAGCTCATTTTAAAGTGATTGAGCTTAAATGTCACACAAGGCGAAACAAATTACTACCAAAAAATTAATCCACAGTCGTGACAGAATGTCCATTGTTATGCTCATCATAACGCATTTTTAAACATGTTAACAAAAGTAATTTTAATAACCAGAATGAAAATAAAGTTTTTACTCTTTTGCGTTTTAGAGGGTTGTTGTCCGATGTCATGACTTCAAGCGAGGTTTCTGTGTAGTGCTCCCATGATATATTGAAAGAGCATTTCACTTCTCGAAGAAAAATCCTATTAGAATTTGTCGATTTTAACTTGTGGGTACGAACGGTCTGGGAAATTGTTATTAAATTCAAATCATAAACAGAGTTATATGAGGGCCATGAAAATACCACGGTTCTGACATCCTCTATGGTCCTGACATTTTTGAGTCGTGTCCGTTACAAATGCATTTATTACTTCCCGAGCGTAAGCAAAGGAAGTACATATTGTAATCAAGTCCGTCGGCCGACTCTCTGATTTTACGTTTTCTCGATCTTTCATGATTCCTAGAGAACCAAGAAATAGGTCTCCCGTTTCCGTCTGCCTGTCCGTCTGTCTGTCTGCCCGTCTGTCTGCCGTCCCGGATTTTTATTAGACAGATAATCTCCGAAACTACTGGATCGATTGTACCATGTAGATGGTAAAACGCTAACCAAAATTTATCTAATCATCCCTAATGCGATAACGTCACTTCAAAATTGTACATAGTAAATGGGTTTTAAATTGTATAAAATAACATAGTCCTACACATGTAGTTTATGACTCCGAATTGAGTTTTTACCCGAAACGTCCAGATTTTTGGAAAAAAAATCAAAATTATGAAACAATATTTTGCAATTTAATTTTGAATCTGCAGAACCGAATGCTTTGAAATCTTGCAAATGATTGGTAGTTATGATAGCCATGATAAATTTGCAATCAAAATATATTTACTTATCCCCTCCAAAAAAATGCTATCTTAAATGTGTAAAGAATGATGAGTCTATACTTGTGATTTATCACTGCATTAATATTTTTTAGATTTGCTTATACGGGGTGTCTGAAAAAAATTAATGACTGAGTCAATTAATTTTATTGATTAAATCAAGAATTGCAAAATTGAATACTTTGAAATCTTTTAGACGTATTTGTCTTAAATTACAAGCACTATACAGGGTGTTCCTTTTATCTGTTTACGCCTAACAATTTTTGCATAGGCAAAATATACACCCCTGAGACGACTTCTTCCAATTTATTGTTTTTTTAATAAGCAATCATAGCAATCACAAAAAAATGACGAAGATGTCAATGCCAAATAATGACAAAATTGAAAAATTTAATACTCATTTTATTTTAAAATACCCCGCTACAAAAATGTAATACGAAAAAAAAACATAATAGGCATGCAGTCGTCACGTTTCCGACAGCGAGGGAAGTACTGGCTAAACTCTTTCAACCAATTTTTTGGATTTGCATATACAGGGTGACTCAACAAAATTAATGAATTCGTGAATTAATTTTATTGAATTAATCAGAAACTACAAAACCAAATGCCTTGAAATCTTGGAGATGTTTTAAATTTATCATAAACATGGAAATTTTTGATCAAAATGATTTGCTCATCCCCCCTGAAAAATTGACGACGCCACCCAAAATTTTGCTGAATAAATCCTACCTGAAATGTATAAGATATGATGAGTCTCTTCTTGTGATTTATCATTCCATTCATATTTTTTGGATTTGCATATCCAGGGTGACCCAAAAAAATTAATGAATGCGTAAATTTATTGAATTACTCAGGAACCACAAAACAGAATGCTTTGAAATCCACTGCGAAAAAAAAACATAATAGACATGCAGTCGTCACGTTTCCGACAGCGAGGGAAGTACCGTCTAAACTCTTTAGACCAATTTTTCTAATAAAAAATGAAAAAGGAAAAACGCAGCTTTCTTTTTGAACCAAAGCTGCAACGTATATTGACTTGTAAAAATCTGACAGTGTAGATAATATTGTTGCTCACCTGGCGATTAGATTTATCTTTTCGTTAAAGCAAGACCTAAAGAAATGTAGGCAACCAAACATTTTCTTTCGTCAAGAACCAGCCAAGAAAGTATTATGATTTACGATAGAGAGATTAGACGGATTTAAAACCCTTGTTGAGAATGTGTGCAAATGAGGTGATCCCTGAAGGTTGTGGAAAAATATGAAATTTCAGATGAAGTACGAACATCAATACCAGATATGTTTCCAAAAGTGTACGAAGAAAAAAAATCTGTTTTTTTTTACTGTGGCAAAAGCCTTAAACTATTATGGTCATTATTTATTATGCATATTTATGACTGCTGTGGCTAATAAATAAGACACTGCATATTATTTTAACTTAAGGGTTGATATAAGAAAAATAAATAAAACTAGAAGGCTCAAATTTTATAATTTACACTTTTATTTCAAGAACCATGTCCATGCTGAATATTTACAAATTATATACCGTACTATACACTATCGTTACATAAAAATATTCTAAATCATAAACTAGTGAACGATGCTGATCCATTAGCCACATCCTGCTGACCATGCCACACTGGATTCTGGTGTTGTTCCAGCATCTGCGGAACCTGGTTATACCGTTCATACAATTGACCGTTCACACTATCATCAGTAGACGTAATCAATTGCGTGTAAGGATAGAATGAAAAGTCATGGGTGTTCATTAGGTTACCATAAGGGTACCCTTCATTGGTCGGTTGAATCTGGTCACCAGTGCCATTAAACTTGTTGAACGAAATTCGCTCTGGGGACGGCTCAGGAGTGATCGGAAACTGGTACTGTTGATCTTCTCGTTTGATTGGGTTTTGACCATTTACACTGGGAAGTGAGTACTGCACTGAAGGTTGAATTAAATATCGAGGAACTTGAAGCACTTGTGTGGTATTAGTGGCTGGTGAAATAACATTGGGGTTAAGCTGTGCCGGTAAGGTCCTCAAATTCTCGGATTGTGTTGTTTCTCCCGCTATATCATTCTTCACAATTTCAGGCAACGCAAATAAGCCCCATTTTTTCTTATATTTCATCCGTCTATTTTGGAACCAGACTTTTACTTGTCGTTCCGATAATTTAAGCGTCTCCGCCAGATGAATTCTCCGCGACCTCGTGAGATATTTACCTCCACTGAATTCTCGTTCGAGTTCTAAAACTTGCTCAGATGTATATGTCGTGCGAGCCCTTCTCGGAGTCAACTTGGTTTCTTTGGTTTCCGGTTGGACAGAACCTGAGTAAGTTTGTGTTAAAATTTATAAACTATGAAAATCTTAATTGTAAACTTACTTGTAGTGGCCTGGCTGGTGCTCGGCTGTTGGTAGAGGGGTAGATTGTATTGCTGAGATGCATAACTCCAGTCAGGAGCGGGTACCTGTAACTTTTGAAACACGTAAATATAGAAAAAAGCTTTAGCAATGGTTAATTTAAAAATCAGTATCTTTTTAGTATTTACCATCTGATTGGTTTGTTCGGGGTAAAAGCTGTAGTTTCCGACACCAGGAGTACCAACACCCAGGTTGTTTTCCTCTGGTGCGTAATTTCGACGTGTTGGTATCAAAGCGTTGAAATCAGGAATAATGGCATTTTTGGCGAAGTCTCCGCCGCTCGAAAATCCTGACATGGCCATAGTGAAGACGCTTTCACTACACGAATGTACTGATGACTGAGCTTCTCTGCAAAGTGCAGGGATTATATAGATTTTCCCACCCCTTTCTAAAGATTAGTAATCGGTCGCTTCAACTCTATTTGTTAAGAGAACAACGTTTCTTTGCACGCACAAATAAAAATAAATTGTGGAACGAAAAGCCGTCTTTTGACCACTCAGAAGTGAGGATCCAGTTGAAGAGGATAAAGTTCTGGTGCATGGGCAGAAGGTGGGAGGTTTTAGGGTGGTAGATAAGTTATTGTTATACACCAGGACGCCGATAACCAACACGGTGGTCTGGTCAAGGCATTTCCCCTCCCACACATAAAGAAACCTTTTTCTTGTTTTCATATCAAATCCAGTGCAATGTAAGTAAATTTCGTGTTTCCATATTTCGTAGTGTCAATTGACTAAAGTCTGACCCGCCGAAAAAACTATTTTTTTTTTAAGTATGAATTCTATTCTCGCATAAGCTTCCTGTAGCTTTAACATGCGTAAATATTCTAATAATTCTATGGCTTTTGTTGTAAATACGAGATTAAAGGGCCCGTATATATAATATTTTAACTGAGATTAAGTTAATCACGCATTTAACGAGGCGTTTAGCGACGTCTGACTGGCGTAGAGTCCGTCACGTGGTACTTTAATGCCGTGCTAAAAATTTAATCGCAATCAAATATTTAATCTAACTTCCACAAACTGGGTCTATATGTGGAATTTTTTATGTAAGCTGTGACTTAAAAGTAATTAACACATAATAATATCAGTTGCTTTAATATTAATTGACTAAAATGATTATCTATACGTAATCGTGAAAATAATTTATTTTCCCGCTCTTTTTTGTAAAATGTAAGAAAAGAAATGTTAGAAATTTGTTTCAGTTAGGAATATGCATGTTTAAGAAAAGTTATGTTTCTATACTTGTTTGTGTGTGCCGTTTATGCGCATTCAAAAACAAGGTGATTAATATGTTTGTATAACGGTTTATAATTTTTTTTTTAAATATTGGATTACTGTTGAATACATTTTCATAAAGGTTCCTTTAAACTAAATGTGTTAAGTAAATTTTAAGAAAAAATATATTTTTTTTGTGTAGGTATATGATCATGTTAAAGTTTGTCTAGAATTATAAGAATTTTATGGACTCCCAAAGTTAATTCGTTTCACAGCCCTGTTGTCAATTTTATTGTACCGCTGAAGAGCGTGGCGAACTCAGGTACAGAAAACATCGGCTTTCTCCTGACAGGCTCTTTACCTGTACAATAGAATTGACGACAGGGTTGTAAAACGCATTAACGTTGGGAGTCCATAAAATTCTTATAATTCTGGACAAACTTTACGTACTTATTTAAGATGACTAATTGCTTTGTTTATACACTTTATAACGTTTTAGGACTACCATGAGTGACATTTTATACAAACGATGTCCACTTATTTCTAAAATTCTTTATTTTATAATGCAACATTACAATTAAGTATATTTTTATATGCTAACATAGATTGTGTAGGTAAGCTTGACATTGCAATAATTTATAACATTGAACAATTTATTTCTACAAAATTATTAATTTGTTTACGGCAAATATGTACGAAAAAGAAAAACTTTGATATTTGTTGCACTCCTTTTTCCGTTTAGTCACGCATTAATTTAGTTAATCTTTATCGAAATGTCTTGCCTTTTTCACCCATATTAATTCTGCGGAATAGGACTATTTGGCGCGGCCTACTTGGTGCGAGACATTTTGGCGCAAAGCCAACTTGGCGCAGGGACACTTTGGCGCAAGCCATCTTGGCGCGAGTAGGTCCGTGTAAAATATAAAAAATATTTATTGTTCGTACTGTGGTTGGCATCCTATTAGTTACCCCAAGTGTAGGCAACTAATTACACACGCAATTTCATTCGCACAAATTCAGATATCTAAATGATCCACGGAGCAAGAAGTTTGACATTTAGGAGAATGTTATAATAGGGTGCAGGCCGCGAAACGCCCGTGTGTCCATTAAAAAATCAACATTACCTCTCCACTGGTTGGTGACTATAAAAGTTAGATCATGTCAGCAACGGCTGCAAATTATATACTTAAATTTATGTATTTTTTTCTTGGTGCAACTTGATAGCTTGCGCCAAAGTATCCCTGCGCCAAGTTGGCTGTGCGCCAAAATGTCTCGCGTTAAGTCGACCGCGCCAAGATGGCCCCGTCAAGATGGCCGCGCCAAGTCGGCCGCGCCGAATTGTCCTAGACCGTTAATTCTGAGAGAAAAATGTAAGAATAGTCATTAATTTTCCCCAAAAACACGTTAAGCTAGAATATCAATTTATTAATAACTAAAAATATACACAAAATAATTAAGTAAAAATAAAATTTATATTTCTACAAACTAGGGCTATGTCAAAAACTAAATATTTTGAAATTCAGATGTTCTTAAAAATTTTAGAACAAAAAACTTAAACGTATGATTTAACGAACATTAGTATATTTGTAGAAAATGTCGGTTAACATCAACGACAACGCTATAAACAGCTTGACTCGCTTTACTGTACTAATTTTCACAGACACATGCCATATCTAGACCTGGTTTATAGAAACCGAAGTTAAAGTTAATTCGCGATTAACTTTTAATTGAGGTTCGTTGCTAGGTGACGTGCAGGTTTTAACCAATCACGAGCTCCCATTTCACATTTTAATCCAGTGTTAAATTAATCGAGGATTAAATATTTAACTCGCGCTTCTATAAACCGGCCCCTAGTGTTTCTAAGTTGAGTTTTAATAATTGAGTCGTGACCTGTTGACCGCCTCATTACTATAATAATATGTAATTATATTTACCATATCTTAAAAAATATGTGGATTAGCGACAACCTTCCATCCCCTATTCTTTGCTATTTTTACTTTCGGAACGTGACATTGCAATAGAGTCATGCTTTCTCGACGTTTCAGCACTCGAAAAAATTGGTCTAAAGAGTTTAGACATTACTTCCCTCGCCTTCAGAACCGTGTCTTTATGTCTATCATAGATACTTCTCATTAGAGTTCTGTGACGGGATACTTCAGTAAATTTGCCTTCACTTTGGAAGTCACGGCTCATTCGTAATTTGATCAATAATAACTTGAGTGATTCATTAATTTTTTTGAATCACCCTGTATAAGCAAATCTAAAAAATTGGTCTAAAGAGTTTAGACAGTACTTCCCTCGCTGTCGGAGACGTGACGACTGCATGCCTGTTATGTTTTTTTGGTATTACAATTTTGTCATTATTTGACATTGACATCTTTGTCATTTTTTTTGTGATTGCTTGAAAATTTAATTGGACGAAGTCGTCTCTGGAGTGTATAATATGTTGCCTATGCAAAAATTGTCAGGCGTAAACAAATAAAAGGAACACACTATATAGTACTTGTAATTTAAGACAAATACGTCTTCAAGATTTCAAAGTATTCAGTTTTGCAATTCTTGATTTAATCAATAAAATTAATTGTCAGTCATTAATTTTTTTCAAACACCCCGTATAAGCAAAACTAAAAAATATTAATGCAGTGATAAATCACAAGTATAGACTCATCATTCTTTACACATTTAAGATAGCATTTTTTTAGCAAAATTTTGCGGCGACGTCATCACATTTTTAGGGGGGGATAAGCAAATACATTTTGATCAAAATTTTACCATGCCTATGATAACTTTAAAACATCTCCAAGATTTGAAAGCATTCGGTTTTGTAATTCCTGGTTGACTCAATAAAATAAACCTACACATTCATTAATTTTTTTGAGTCGCCCTGTATATGCAAGTCAAACAAATATGAATAGAGTGATAAATCATAAGTACAGACTCATCATATTTTGTACACTTTTTAGATACGATTTATTCGGCACACTTTTCAGCTGACGTCATCAAGTTTTTGGAGGGGATAACCAAATATATTTTGACTAAACATTTATTATGCTCTTTATAACCTTTTAAAAGATCTGCAACATGTCAAAGCATTCGGTGTTGTAGTTTCTGATTGACTATAAAATAAATTCAGGTCAGGTCAGGTCAGGTCAGGTCAGGTCAGGTCAGGTCAGGTCAGGTCAGGTCAGGCTGAAGATTTATGATGCTCTTTTTAGCCTTAAAACATCCGCAATATTTCAAAGCATTCGGGTTAGTAGATTCAAAATTAAATTGCAAAATGTTGTTTTATAATTTTGATTTTTTTTCCAAAAAATCTGGAGGTTTCGGGTAAAAACCCAATTGGGAGTCGTAAACTACATGTGCAGGACTATGTTATTTTATACAATTCAAAACCCATTTACTATGTACAATTTTGAAGTGACGTCATCGCATTCGTGTTGGGGATGATTAGAGACATTTTGGTTAGCGTTTTACCATCTACATGATATTCCTAATATAAAGGCAAAATTTGACAACAATCGGTCCAGTCCTTCGGAGTAGGTAGTAGTAGTAGTAGTTTATGACTCCGAATTGAGTTTTTACCCGAAACATCCAGATTTTTGGAAAAAAATCAAAATTATAAAACACCAAGTTGCAATTTAATTTGGAATCTGCTAAACCGAATGGTTTGAAATCTTGCAGATGTTGAAGGTGCTAAAGAGCATAATAAATATTTAGTCAAAATATATTTGGTTATCCCCTCCAAAAAATTGAAGACGCCAGCTCAAAAGTTTGCCAAATAAATCCTATCTAAAATATCCAAAATATGATGAATCTGTACTTGTAATTTATCATTCCATTCATATTTTTTGCATTTGCATATACAGAGTGACCCAAAAAAATTAATGAATGCGTAAATTTATTGAATTACTCAGGAAGTACAAAACAGAATGCTTTGAAATCCACTGCGAAAAAAAACATAATAGGCATACTGTCGTCACGTTTCCGACAGGGAGGGAAGTACCGTCTAAACTCTCTAGACCAATTTTTTTAATAAAAAATGAAAACGGAAATACGTAGTTTTCTTTTTGAGCCAAAGCTACAACGTATATTGGCTTGTAGAAATCTGACAGTGTAGATAATATTGTTGCTCACCTGGCGATTAGATTTATTTTTTTGTTAAAGCAAGACATAAAGAAATCTAGGCAACCAAACATCTTCTTTCGTCAAGAACAAGCCAAGAAAGTGTATGATTTACGATAGATTTGGCCACTATTGAGAGATTAGATGGATTTAAAACCCTTGTTGAGGAAGTGTGCAAATGAGGTGATCGTAGTGAATTCTCCCTAAAAGTTGTGGAAAAATATGATATATCAGATGAAGTACGAGCATCAATAGCAGATATGTTTCCAAAAGTGTACGAGGAAAAAAATCCGATTGTTTTGCATTACTGCGGCTAGTTTTAAAAACGGTCGGCAAAAGTCTTAAACTATTATGGTCATTATTTATTATGCATATTTATGACTGCTGTGGCTAATAAAGAACAAACTGCATATTATTTTAACCTAAGGGTTGGTATATGACAAATAAATAAGACTCGAAGGCTCAAATTTTATAATGTACAATTTTATTTCAACAACCATGTCCATGCTGAATATTTACAAATTATATACCTACTATACACGATCGTTACATAAAAATATTATAAATTATAAATTAGTGAACGATGCTGATCCATTGGCCACATCCTGCTGACCGTGCCACACTGGATTCTGTTCCAGCATCTGCGGAAGCTGGTTATACCGTTCATACAATTGACCGTTCGCACTACCATCAGTAGACGTAATCAATTGCGTGTAAGGATAGGATGAAAAATCACTTAACTGGATGTTCATTAGGTTAGCATAAGGGTACACATCATTAGTCGGTTGAATCTGGTCACCAGTGCCATTAAAGTTGTTGAACGAAATTTGCTCTGGGGACGGCTCTGGGGTGATCGGAAACTGGTACTGTTGATCTTCTCGTTTGATTGGGTTTTGACCATTTGCAGTGGGAAGTGAGTACTGCATTGACGCTTCAACTAAATGTCGAGGAACATGAGGTACTTGTATGGTAGCAGGTGAAATTTCATTGGGGTTCAGTTGTGCCGGTAAAGTTCCCAAATTCTCTGATTCTGTTGTTTCTCCCGCCATATCAGTGTTCACACTTTGAGGCGACGCAGCTCGACCAGATTCTTTCTTAAATTTCATCCTTCTATTCTGAAACCAGATCTTCACCTGTCGTTCCGACAATTTTAGTCTCTCCGCCAGATGAATCCTTCGCGGTCTCGTGAGATATTTACCTCTAATGAATTCTTTTTCAAGTTCTAAAAGTTGCTGCGAGGTATATGCCGTGCGAGCCCTTTTCGGAGTAAACTTAGTTTGCTGAGTTTCCTGTTGGACGGCACCTGAGCAAGTTTGTGTTAAAATTTATAAACTATGAAAATATTAATTGTAAACTTACTTGTAGTGGCCTGGCTGGTGCTCGGCTGTTGGTAGATGGGCAGATTGTATTGCTGAGACGCATAACTCCAGTCAGGAGCGGGTACCTGTAACTTTTGAAACACGTAAATATGGAAAAAAGCTTTAGCAATGGTTAATTTAAAAATCAATATCTGTTTAGTATTTACCATCTGATTGGTTTGTTCGGGGTAAAAGCTGTAGTTTCCGACACCAGGAGTACCAGCACCCAGGTTGTTTTCCTCTGGTGCGTAATTTCGACGTGTTGGTATCAAAGCGTTGAAATTGGGAATAATGGAATTGCTGACGAAGTCTCCGCCGTACGGAAATCCAGACATGGCCATGGTGAGGAAGCTTTCACTACACGAAGGCACTGATAACTGAGCTTCTCTGCAAATTGCAGGGCTTATATAGGTTTTCCCACCCCTTTCTAAAGATTAGTAATCATTCGCTTCAACTCTATTTGTTAAGATAACAACGTTTGTTTACATGCACAAATGTGGAACAAAAAGCCGTATTTTGACCACTCAGAAGTGAGCATCCAGGTGAACAGGTTTTGGGTAATTTATTGTAACGCCAATAACCAATGCGGTGGTCTGATCAATGCATTTGCCCTCCCACACATAAACAAATTTTTTCTTGTATTCATATCAAATCCATTACAATTTATATTTCATGTTTTCATATTTCGTAGTGTCAGTTGACTAAAATCTGAAAAAATATATATATTTTTTAAATATATATGAATTCTATTCTCGCAAAAGCTTCCTGTAGCGTTAACAGTCTAATGATTATAATTTATACATGTAAATTATGGCTTTTGTTTATAAATACGACATTAAGGGACCAGTATATATAATATTTTAACTGAGATTAAGTTTATCACGCGTTGAGCGAGGCGTTTAGCGACGTCTGATTGCCGTAGACTCGATCACGTGGTACCTTAACGCCGTGTTAAAAATTTAATCGCAATCAAATATTTAATCGAGCTTCTACAAACCGGGTCTGTATGTGGGATTTGTGATGTAGGCTATAATTTAAAATTAATTAACACATAATAATATCAGTTTCTTTAGCGTTAATTGACTAAAATTATAGTCAATCTATACGTAATCGTGAAAGCCATTTATCTGACCATATTTTTTTTTGTAAAATGTAAGAAAAGAAATGTTAGCAATTTGTTTCAGCTATAGGAATGTGCATGTTGAAGAAAAGTTAAGTTTGTACACTTGTTTGTGTGTGCCGATTATCTGCATTCAAAACAAGGTGATTAATATGTTTGGATAACGGTTTACAAATTTTTGTAAAATGTTGGACTACTGTTGGCTATATTTTCATATAGGGCATTAAACCATTTGCTTTAAACTAAATGTTTTAGGTACATTTTAAAAAATATATTTGATTTGTGCGTGTGATCATTTTGCGTATGTACTTAAGATGACTAATTACTGTACTACTGACTACAATGAATGACATTTTATATAAATGATAATCACTTATTTCTAAAATTTTTAATTTTATAATTCATTATTACAACTATAGAATCGTACCTATAGATAACCTTAACCTGGCTATAATTTTGTAACAAACAATTTATTTTTGCAAAGTTTTTTTTTTCTGCAAACATGTGCGAAAAAAGACGCTAATATTTGTTATACTTTTTTTTCCCGTTCAGTAGCGTATTAAAATTTAATTAATCTTTATCGAAATATTGTGTTTTTCACCTATGTTAATTCTGAAAAAGAATTCGAAGAATAATTGTTTATTTTCCGCAAAAACACAATCAACTTAAATATAAATTTATTAATAACTAAAAATATTTAATACTAACTTAACATTTATATCATAAAACTATATAATTTATCTACATTTTGAATCTCAACCGTCCTGAAGAATTTTAGAACAAATAAGTATTAACAAATTTGTAGAAAATGTCAGTAACATCACGGACATAATAGTAAATACCTTTCAAAACAGTGGTGCCAGTGGGGCGTGTCACTGCGACTTGAGACTAAACGTGGCGACAAATCCGTAAGTACAGACTAGACATTGAAATTTTGCGTTAAACCCTATAAGACCAACAACGGGTCATAATGACTGCTTGATTGAACTCATATCACCCATGTGATCGAACTGACTGCAATTCTTGCATGACCGCATTGTCCAAGACTGTGCAAAGTAGGCAGACCTTATTACTAATTGGGCAATTAGGAAACAATTTTCAAATGAGGTATTCATTGATGAGATTTCAAGTTATGATGAAAAAACTTGACAAATGCATTATTTTCGGTAATTGCGCAAGTAATTAAATAAGAAAAGTTATTCGATAATTTCAGCAAGATAGAACTTTTTTCTTATAATATTTTTTAGTAGATCAGAAATATTTGATAACAATCGCTGTCTTCTGAATTTTTATCGATCGGTATCTTAACAAATACACAACTACCGCATCATTTAAGTTGATATTCATGCTGCAACACCTACTCTAGAACAAGTCTAAATTAAAATTTCTTAACTTCCAGGAAAAATTCTCTGAAAAATTATTTGAAAGTAGAATCTACAACTTTGTTGTTGTTTGCATTAAAGCACCCAGTAATAAAGACAATCTCTCTTAATAAAAATTGAGGACCTGTTGTGTGCACGTTACAAGGAAATTATATTTCAAAAATAATCAACCCAAGTGAACAACAAGCAATGAATGACCTTCAAGCACTCAATAAATTAAGGTAAATCTTTTAAAATATAAGTCCTAACAAGTTTAATTCACCGAATAAAATTCTTTAATCAGCACTCAAACAGTATGTCAGTATCACTAATAAGTTAAAATGTAATGACTAAGATTAAAGTTAACCCTTCTAATAGCAATAATTAAAACAAAATGTGATGAACAAAATTGATCTGACACCTAAAATTTGGCTCGCTTATTCCTTGAATAAAAAAAAAACAGAATCTCTATTTTTTTAAATATAAATGATAGTAGGTACAGAATGATATCAACTCCAGATTTCATTTAGTAAACATATATCGCATTTCAGCCCCAAAGGAGTCAAGCAATGGTGCATCATGGTCTGATAAAAATATTTACAATGATTAGCGTGTAAAACAAAATATTGTGCAGTTAAATAATTTCGGAACTATACAAACATAAACGCCACAAAAGCTACTGATAAATGATAAAACTGAAAATAAATACACAGGATGATTCAGCATCCTTGCAATAACCCCAAACCTTTGAAGATAAGACGAAGCCTCCTCTCAAAATAAATTTGGATATTATTATTTTGTTACATGTATAAAATATCACAGTTCTAAAAAGAAATATAGCTGTGGAAACAGTGACAATCAAAGAACGGTTACTCTCATATTCGAAGGTATTTCATTTCCGTGTGTCTGTCGTCCGTCGTCTGTGTCGATTTTAATTAAATAGATAATTTCAGAAACTACCGGACCGATTGTTGTTAAATTTTGGATATATTCATATGTGAGGAATATCCCGTAGAAGGTAAAACGCTAATCAACGTGTCTCTGATTATTGCGGCCAACAATTTGATGTTGCCACCTCATTTTGAAAAGTAAAATACTGTTTAAAGTTTATAAAATAACATCCTCCTGTACTTGTGGTTACTGATAACTTGTATGTTGTTTTTCTTGTTCTATTTTTTATCATAAATCAGTCTGGATTTTTATAATAATTACTTTACAAAAATCTGACTTACACACATGTAACAAGCACACGGTGTCGATAAGGTGTTGAACTCCAACTCTGCCAGCGTAGATTCGACTCTTATCCTCGTCGGAGAGTTTTTTGTCTAAGACATTATTATTAAGCGAAAAACGATATAAGACACTGAAGAAACACAAGCGATCCAAAGTACCAATTGGAACAATATTTACTCAAATAACGATTTCAGCATATTGTAACACTGTGTTACAAAAAATTATTGAATACATATCCATTGGACTGGTCTGTAAAAAATTCGAATGTTTTGGCCAAATAATACAACTCTTGTCGTAACTGACGCACTGAATTCAAATTTATTTTCAGAATTTTTGACAAAAAACTCGAAAGGGTCAACTTTTGTTTTTAAGAACACATAATTTAGTGACAAAACCAGAGGTCAAAAAATGAAAAATACTTAAAACATTTCGGAAAAATTCTTGTTTTATGTTTTTGTATATTTCAAAAATGGAATGTGATACAGAAATTATGTTCAGAGATTTGAATTTAGCACATCAAAATCTATAAAGTATAACTATAGTTTTCTTTGAACCATTTTTGTTGCAGACCAATGTTATTGCTATGTTTTTCCATCTAATGGTTGTAGAACTCAATCACCTTTAAAACATATTTAATTAGTCGATAATTAGCGTGTCTTTTAACATAAACGTAATTTTAACTAAAACTATTAATTTCACTACGTTTCATCAGTTATTTAGACTAAAAAGCACAATGTAAATGACTAAGAAGAATAATGGTCATATCCGACAACAAAATAAGGTCACTCCTAATTTTTAACTTTTTTATTTTAATCAATCATTTAGTTTTAAAATTTGAACACTAACCAGCAAAGTTAACGAAATACATGAAAAAAAAACGACGATTATTCAGTTCTTGGTGTATTTAGAGAATTAATAATATTTATTCGTACGACAGGGAATTAAAGACTAATTCTGGAAATCCTACTGGAAACCAACTTTCTTTTTCGCAAACTCATTATGCTAGAGATTTTCATATTTCATACTTATAATGACAATACTTAACTGTGAGGAGCTGCTGTAAATCTTAGTAAATAAACTTTCCCTTTTACTATGTATTTTAAGTCTCCAGGTGGTACCTGGTTTCCAAGAAACGATTAGGTTTACAAGCATTGAACAAAAGTTCACTTGCAGTCAAATTCTATTGTGCGTTCCGGTTTGACTTGGCAACGTACAAAATCTGTAAGCGATGCATTTCAAATGGGTAAATTCGTGGCGGTGTTGCCAATTATCCAAAAACTTACCGATTTCTGAAGAAGTTGATGAATCTTACACAAATTATCATAAAGTTTTTGTCATCCCGCTTCTATTCGTGTTAAAATTAGATTGTTATATATCAAAATTTCATTAATACATCGAATTATTTCTGGAATTTTTATAATTTTAAAATTGCGTTTTTTTGATTTTTTACCACGTCATATTTGAAAAACTATCTAAATTTTGTCTTAGTTTTTTATCCGTAATTTAATCAAACACTTGTGTTTTTAAATTTCTATAAAAAAATCTGCTTTTGTTACTTGCACAGAAGGTGCATGGAAATTTTTAACATGATAGGTTCAGTATAGTTTTGGAAATTTCTTTCTATCCT